ATTATCAAAAAAAATAATTAAATAATGATTAGTGTATTTAGGGTCGCATACTATTATTAGTATTTATATAAAATGCTGGTAAAGACCTACTAAATTGTCAGAAAAATTTATTTTTTTAGTGGCAATTCTAGTAGCCATTTTAAAAACCATTAAATTTATTTTTTAAATTTTCTTCTTTCCATCCATTTAGTGACTTTTATCTATTACTAGTAAAACCTTAAATAATTTATTCCTATCATTTCCTTTTTCTAAATTCGTAACTTATATACTTTTTTTATCTCTTGTTGATGTGAGACTTGTAAGATGAAGGTTTTCTTTTATCTATATATTTTTTAATTTATTCTTTTAATTATTTTATCTTTTAAGAGATATGAGACTTAAGAGGTGAAGGTGGAAGTTGTTTTCTAATTATTTTATAGCACTATTGAATTTGATAATAGTGGGTGATTTGATACCAACTTAAAATAGTGAATTAGGACTTTAACTCAACCCCATAAAATCAACTTGTAAGATGATAGTTATCATTCACTTATATACTCTTTAATTATCTTATCTCTAATTGATATGGGACTTAAGTTTTTCCAATAAATAATTGTCACTAATAATAAACTTTTATGTAATGTAAATACATTTTTAGTAACTAATATATATTAACCATTAATATTTTTATTGTATAATTAATAGCGACAATTAATTTATAATCATTAAATATTTTTCGTTAATAATAAATTTTGTTGTAATGAATATAAAATTTGAAAATTCATTATCTTGAATTATTAAGATCATCTCTCGTTTAGTTTACCTCATAATATTTGTAATATTATTATATTATTTATTTTACATTATTTTCTAACCTAAGTAATAGTTTATTAAAATACTTTGTGTAAATAGGTTAAAGTACCCTTTGTACTCTTATTAATTCTATTTTTCTTATAAAAAAATAATTTATTAAAGTTTTCCTTATCCAACTTAATCAGGTTTTTTCTCTCATGTAATTGGACTATATTAAACTAATTTAAATATTAATTATATATATTTTTAATTTGATAGATAACATTTTTCACTACGTAATTTATGTATTACACGAACAATTAATAATTATTCTGGAGGGGGAATCCGTTTATTTTAGGAGTAAAATCTATCTAGACTTATTCCGTTCAATAACTCATACTCTATATCAAATCTGAACGAGTTAACGGTTGAATTTAAAGTTCTTAATGCACAAATCAAATATGTAAATTTTTTAAAATTTTAAAAATTATTTTATACTTCGTTTCATTAATTTAAATTGACGAATAACATGTTTTTATGATTATCCATCAATTTAAATTAATGAAACGAAGTATCAAATAATTTTTAAAATTTACAGATTTGATTTGTGCATTAAGAACTTTAAATTCGAAGGTTGAATTGTTTAGATTTGATATAGAACATGAATTATTAAACGAAGTAAATTTAGGTAGATTTCTTAAAGTAAACGGATACTCCTCATTATTTTGCTTAAAAGTGTTTTTAAATTTTTTTAAGACAGTGCTATTAAGCGTTTTCTTCCATAAAAGAGTTTTTATTTTGAACTTATTATTTAGTTTTTAAGTGTTTTATTTAACAAAATATTTTTTTAAAACACTTTATCTATTTAAATTTGTATTTATTATATTTTTTCTTAATTAAATTTGATAAATTTAAAATAAATGATCAATAACTAAAATATAATCTTGTAACAAATTATAATTTTTTTATATAAATATAAAGTATAATTTATAAGATGAAAAAGTATTTATATAAATCTTATATATTTCATAAGTAAGTTTATCTAAACTTATCTAATTCAATAATTCATATTTTATATCAAATTTTAATGATACAACCATTGAATTTAAAGTTTTTAATACATAGATCAAGTCTTCAAATTTTTTAAAAATGGTTTAATTGTGATTTTGATCCCTCAAGTATTGCAATTGTGCAATTTTGATCCCTAAGGTTTTAATTGAGTAATTTTAGTCCTTCAAAGATTGCAATTTTGGGATTTTAGTCTCTTGATTTTTGATTGAATAATTTTAATCTCTCAAATATCATAATTGTGCGATTTTAATTTTTTCTATTAAAAATTTTAAAATTTTAATATATATATATATATATATATATAATGTTTTAAAACTATACAATTATTAAACTATTTAAGTTAACATATATTATAATTTTTATTAATGTATAAAATGATATATATTTATTATTACTAAATAAATAAAATTTATATATTATTAGTATTTTAATATTATTGATAAATTAATATCAATAATATTTTTAGTATATTTATAGATAAACTAATAGTTTGATAAAT